TTTTACATCCTTTAACAAGACTCTTTCAGGCACCATTGCTCACATTTACCCTTGAATTTAAACATCCTTGAAAAGCTTTGAAGGTTGATTTCAATGAAATCTGTTTTTATTCCAGGCATTTTTCCTACTGTCATTCTGAGTAAAACAAGAAACATTCACTGTCAAAACAACAAGGGCTTGCTCTCAGGCACCAAATGAAAGCAGAAATGTCTGCCGGGTTTACTTTGGCATCCGCCTAGCAGTTAAGTAGGACAGCTTTTAATTCGTCACTTCCTTCAGATTCACTGAGGCTGGAAAAGTAAGTCAGTAGCACTTGGTTTCAGCTCAAGGTGAACTAGCTGGGCATTATCCCTCAGACCCACATCCTTTCAAAAGTGTCAATTAAAGGAGAAACTATGTATTTAGCAACATGCTTAACATAGCAACATCTAATAGACTTTTATTTTTACTTGAAACTGGAGGAACTTAGAAATCTAACTTATTACCAAAGACCGACAACAGGTCTGGGAAGAGGCAAAGGATGTTAATGTTTTTCAACAAGCCTGCATAAAAACATTGAAAAGAGTGAATATCCAAGTATTTTTATTTTTTTTTAATTAAAATAAACTATGACTCAAGACTCAAAATTCAAATCTCAACTCTATGAAGACATTCATTCTCTCCCTCTGAGTCTGTTTCCTTGTCTATAAATCAGGGGTAGCATCTCCCTGGATCATGCTGTCTGGCACCTGTCAGGCACACGTTAGATGCTCAATAAGTGTGAGCCACTGTGTTATTCAGAAGAGCTTGAGACACATATTTTTAAACAATTCAATCCAGGAATGAGCATTTATTACTGTATGAAGGTGGTTTCTCCTATCTGCCCGGATTTTTTTTTTTTGGCTGGAATCTTATGCTGTTCTTTCATTTCCCCAAAGTTGGCAATCACATCTGTTTAATACTTTCTGTTTAACGAGGCCAGATTGTGGGCATGTGTCTATGCAACCATTAACATAACCATTCCTCAACAGAGGTGTTTTCTGGCATCTCAATGACCTCATTGTAACCTGTAATCTGGCTGATTATTGGCTAGACAAACTGCTTTAGTAACAAGAGGAAATGAAAATCTCACACACACACACACACTCATAAATACATACATGCATAAACATATATGCTTATTTTTTTCTGTTCTTCGGAAAAAGTCAGGGTCCAGCTGCAGACTTCTTTCGCAGTATGTATTTGGTACGGAGTGTGTGAGGAGGTGAAGAAAGCTAAATGCTTCCGTCTTTGAGTCCCTTAAAGCAACTGACTTTGAAGTGAACTGCAGCAAACTCTTTTGAGAATCTAGACGAACCTTGGTTTAACAACCAACAGTGTAGCTGTTTATTTTAAGGAAAATTCATAAACCCACAGGGCTATTCCTTGGGTCTTTCCCACTTTGGAAGGCTCATGTGAAATGTGGCCCAGACATCACATCTCCCCAGGCTGTGCCTTCCCTGACCTCCTCCCCTCCGTCCCCCTGGGGCTGATTTTCCAAGGAGAGCAAGTGCCCGGGGTCAGCTGCAGAGCTGAGTGGATGCTGGCAGAGCTCCCTCCTGGTCCAGCGTGGAGCACAGGCCTCCACCAGCCGATGGACGCTCCGGCAGCGGCGACCTCCTGTCCCACCTCTCGCCCCCATACCCCGGAGAAACGTGTGGAAGAAAACCAGGCTGACTGTTGTTCTCAAACGTGTTTATTTGTTAAGTTTTACATGGTGTGTTACAGAAGTTAATGGAAAATTTCTAAAAATTCCGCGGTTCTGTTGAATGCATTGTACATAAAGTTAAAAATAATGTGTCCATATATGTTAACAAACTGTCATCTGAGGTAAAGTTAAAGTAGGTCTAGAAATGTACGGCAACAGTCATTTTCTCTTTCTCGTCTTTATTAAAAAAATATGTGTCAGAACGCAGAGATTGAAATGAACCAAACCCACAGAGTAAACATTTTTTTTTTTAAAAGGTGCCCGGTACATGACATGATGGGGTTTCAGCAGACACTGGGATGAGGACGAATTATCAAAAAAGTCTTGCGGCATAGATCGAAGCGCTATGGGGAATGGGGACAGAACGACAGGTGGCGTTTCCCTGGTTTCAAAATTTAAAGTGACAAATTTAGTGCTCGTGGAGGATGAGAAATTAACAGCTGTACACATGGATTTCCTATCAGTCTAACTGGAACTGTGCAGACTCCCCATGGCCTTTTGGTATCACCACCTCCGCTCTGACGCGGAGGTTTCCCTGTACTCCTGGGATCGCACCCAGCGGTGCTGAGCCCGCCAAACCGTGCTCATTACAAATCGTAGGGCTGCCAACGATAACCTGGGTGGCAGTTTAAAATCTTGACTTTATTTCCCTCGCTGGAATGCAACCTGTGCACCGTCGTCTCTCAGTTCAGAGCCAGTGACAGGAACAATCACGCTCAGAGGATGGTAAGTCCGCCGGGCTGGCTGTCCCCTTCTGCTCTGAAATCGGCTCTAGACGGTTTACCTGACACAGCGACACCCACCAGGGTTCACTTTGCACGTGTCAGAAGCAACCCAGACTCCCTGTGACGGTGTGATGGTGCCAGACAAACTCAAGACGGCCATACCGAGGGAGAAGATAGCACCAATTGTCTAGAATCAGAACCCCGGACCACACAGCAATGGAAGCCGTTTCCTATTGGGAACTGCCTATCCCATCAAATCCCCAGAAAACACCGTCAGACTGGTCTCAGGACCCCTCTCGCGGTCATCACGCCTTCCCATTCCCCTCTGCACGGGAAAAGGTGACCCAATCATAAAATGTACGCAGGCTTCAGGAGAAGCCGCGTGGGCCAACCGGCGACAGCTACGGAGGGAGGTAAATGGCCCTGCTTACTTCCCTGGTTCTTCAGACTTTCCACGGTAGGATGACATTCACATGTATTCTGTAATGGACATTTTGGTCAGTTTACCTAGCTGGAGAAAAGTTCAATTCCAGTGACCTGATCATGTAAAATTTGGGCTTCCGACAGTAACAATCACCTCGACTTACCAATTTTCTCTTTGTTGAGCAAGCACCTTCTTCCAGGTCACGTCAGTCTCTATGGATATGAAGAACCCAAGCACACAGGCCTAGTTAAGTTAATCATATCAATGTAAATTCGAATTTTCAAATTTCAAAACCAAGTGATGGTAATCGCCCTCGAATCCAATCGATCACATGATTCTTTAAAGTTTTCTTCTTCGTGTGAAACCACTAAAGTCAACATACTGTAACTGCATAGGAACATCAGGAAAACACATCTGACCTGTAGAACAATTCTCTGTAGGGCAAAAATATATAGATTCTTTATGAAAATCATGTGCTAAACATACGAACCAAACACCGCACTTTTTGTCTCGTAAATGTAAAAAAGGAAGCTTAAACTCTTCTGTTTCGTGTACAAACAGTCCGGTGATTTCCGTGGGGGAAGGTGGGCGTGGAGAGGCGGGAGGGCGGTTTGGAACCCGAAGGCCAGACCTTCAACACGTGAATTGCCTTTTCCTTGTTTTACGCAGAGGGCGGGGGCTCTTGCGGGAATGCCGGATGGGGTGATGGAGTCACATGCTCCCTTCCTGTGCACGAGCCGCGGATCGGTCAGCTGTGCTGCCAGCTGCCCTGAACTCCGGCTCCCCCGCTACAGAACAACGTCCGGAGGGCGAGCCCCGTCATCACGTTGCTCGCATCTTGCACTCGGTCTGCTACCTCTCTACAGTGTAATGGCATTATTAAAAAGCATTTTCATTAACATCTATATTTACAAAAACAAAACACCTGGCATTTTTTTTTTTTTTCATTAGAACTCTTTAAAGCCATTTCCCTTAAATATTTAAAGAGTTAAATGGTAAGGTTCTTTTTTTTTTTTTTTTTTTTTAACTTATAAAATAAAAATCCCATTGGAACTTTCTGATGTACAAAAAGAGATAGAGATGAACCATTGTGATCACAGAATCAGTTCGTTATTCTGAAGAGTCATGTCATTCAGTTAGAGAGTGGGTTTTTAAGATCCAAAACCACATTACCAGGATTGTACCAGAATTATTTGGCAAATGACTTTCCTTTGAAAATGGCCCATGGAGAAGACACCTGTCTGCATAGCATCACAGCAGCAAGATATCGGAAAAATAAAAAATTTCATCTTAGTGTACTTAGAATTTAGAGCTTCTTAGGAAATCAGATGCATGTTTCATCTTTCTCATCAATGGGATTTGATGTCCTTTCCTAGCCGAAAGCTGTCTGTCTTCACCGGGATGCAGAAATAGCTAAAAGGGTTGGTTTGGCAACATTCTTGATCATAAAGAATAATCAACCACTTATTTGTCTTGTGATTTCAAGTCAATTCACTTCATATGAGACTTTTTTTTTTTCCAGTTAGATTTCTTCATCAATATCTTAAAAATGTCAAAAGCAATACAAAAATGTGTACACCCACTAATTTTCAAACATGACAAAGGAAGGAAAGGGAAAAGAATGGCAGACCAGGGCCCGTGGAGTGATGAGAAAACAGCATCCTATGTCAAAAGGCATATGGATGATGGGACTGTGGTCACAGAGGACCTCTTGCTTTGCCTAAAAGAAGTCAGTGCTAACCTTGCTGTCATGCTCTGAGGCCTGTCACTCCAAATTTGACATCTCTACAGTGGGCAATGTGTAGAGAAATTAAAAAAAGAATTACGATTCTGCACACTGGGGGATCATCTTCAACCCACACTAAGAGAGCTCAGAGTATGTGTTGAGTAAGCATTTACTTGATTTGTGATTTAACGCTGGGTGTGATTTTGTTATACTTTTGTGTGTTTTATGTTTTGTGCTGCCATAGATATCTGCCGTCGGTTGCCAAAAACTCTTAGTGTCCACTCCCAAATGAGTTCCCTTGGGCAGTCACGAGTTTCTTCGTGGGATGAAGTGAGGTGAAAGAGTACAAGAGAGGCTGGTGTGATGCTGATTGCCATGCCAGCCGAGAAGCACCCGCCACGAGCCCGCATTGATGTTATTTCTTAGGTCTGTGGATCTGCGCATAGATAGGCTCCAGCTCCTGCGGACAGAGACACAGAGTGAGACCTGCTCTTCGCCAGACAGGAATTTCTGAAACAGCTTGGAAAGGAGAGTTTGGGATGAGAACAGAAAGGTGACAGTATGATGGATGACATTAGGTGATTGGGGGAGTATCTGATCATGGTGCATATCATTTTGGCAACTTTTTTTTGTTTTTTGTTTTTTTATCATCGAAAATAACTACTCACCCAGTTATGTCCTTGGTTTTCAAGTGAGACTGATTGGCCCTGATAGGGAAATAGCATGGAATAGCTGAGAGAGTTGGAGAAGCTGTGTGACAGGGGCAAGACACTTATCCTTTCTGAGACTCAGTTCCCCAGCTGTGAAACGGGAATAATTCTATTCATCTTACAGGGTTCCTGAGAGGATTAGAGATAATATATATAAAGCATCCAGCACAGTGTTTGGCAATAACAGGTCTTCAGAAAATGGTAACAATCATCATGAGTCAGAGATTTTTCTCAACATGCTTTTGTGAAAGTCCACCTGACACGGCTGATATTCTATTTCAACCTGCCCTTTGGTCTCTTCAAGCAGTGATGACTGGGTGTACTTCAGAGCCAGAGAAACAGCAGTTGTGCAGGTAGCCCACATTTAAAAGCTTCTGGGACTCGTTTCCATTCAATCTGCCGTTTCGAGTTGGGCCAGTCCTTTGCCTGCGCCAATAGGGGCTGTCCTGAGACACACACACACAAGGCTTTCACCAGTACCCAGCATAGCAAACTTCCCATCCAAACGTCGGCGGCAAATGGTGCTTGGCCTTGTTGAAAGCACTTCGGGATGTCATGTCACAAAGGCCTGGGATGCTCTGGCCAAGCAGACTACATCAACGCTCTGGTCTTCAGCACACATAGGCCCTTCCATTAAAATTGACCTGTATGCTGTCACTCTTAGATGTCTGGGCCAGAATTAAATGGACATAGTGACATCTCAATTCTGCCTCATTTTATAGATTAGCCTGCCTCCTGCCATGTGAGCATAGAGCTTTTTTCTTTCGTCATTTCCTTGAAGCACCAGACTGAAATGGCATTCTGTGAACCCCTGCTGTGTGTCAGGCACAACACCAGGTATCTTCAAGTCCAATGACTCTTTAACATATCATAACAGCCATGTAAGGAGGCTTTATCTCTTCTGCAAATGAGAAATCAAGCACAGAGAAATTAAGTAATTTGCCCATAGTCACACAGTAAGTTTGGGACATGAGACTTAAAAGTAGGCTCTAGTGCTTTGTCTAGTCTATTATGACAGCCGACCAGGAAAAAAAAAAAAAAAAAAAGGCCAACTCTTCCAGCTGCAGTGTTGTGGAGTGCTTTGGACTTTATAAAGCTCCCTCATGTCTTATTTTATCTGCCTGAGTCATAGGGATGCTTTTATTCTTCCCATCCTCATTCTGCAGATAAAAATGAAAGGTCAGAGAGGTGTATGATCTGAAGGTCATTGTGCTGTCTCTCATGTAGTTCATATATCATACTGTTCATCTTTATTGTAAAGTTGAAATGGACTAAAAGATAATTTTGTCCTGATCCATCATTTTACAGATGAGGAATCTGAGGCCCAGAGAAGAGAGCGCTTTTGTTTGACCAAAGTCACAAGGTTACTTAGTAACCAGGCCATGAGTAGGAGCCAGGATACCTAGACTCACTATGTTTGTATTCTTCCGGAGAGAAGGACCTTCCAACCCCTCCAGGTTCTCTAATTTGTAATGTACCACAGTACCAACCTGTCCCTCCACGCTTTTCACCTAGGGGACTTCGCACTGCCCTTTAAACATAATGAAAACATGCGATTCTTCCTCCACCTGTCCAACGACACCTGGTGGCAGCGCACACTGTTCCACACCCTGCCTCTGGTTACTGCTTGCCAGTTCCTTCTGCATTTTACACATGGACCTAGCCCAGTATGTGCTCAGGAAAGGCTGGTTGAATCAATGCACAACCATGTACTGTTTCTACATTCATTGCTGTTCTGATCCCTTTGCCCTAAAAACACTCATTTAACTTTAATTCTCTCAAAATCAAAGCTAGCAAAATCCCTAGTAAGATGATTTATTCAGCACCTAGTATATTCTCTGCCAGTGTCTTGAAATGTTTCAAATACCTGTTGTCAGGCTAAATGTGTAAGTGTCCTGTGTTGTGTGTTCTGGGGTGGGGATGGGGGCCAAGGTGGAGGTGTCAGGTACCAGTCCTGTGGCCTGTGCTGGGCTATGAGGGTGCATGGTGATGTTCCCTGAGTTGGCTTCCCCAGCCCGCTCTTCAGTTTGGACGCCTTAAGAAGTCAGGCTGCCTTGATCTCACCCTGCGATGTGCTCCGTTCTAATTTTGGAACTAATTTATTCAGCTGAGAATGACACCTAAAAACAGAAGACGACAGCAGGCTCAGACAGGGTAATTGATGCCACACCGCATTAACTCTCCGCAGCTGAGAAAAATATTCAGACATCTCCTGCTTGCTGGGATTTAGCTTCAAGCACCCATCGCAACAGCGGCAACGAGTGCAGTCCACTCTCAATTATCCCCACTAATGAAGGGGAGCAGTGGCGTGGAAACCCCGAGCAGCAGAACATCCCCAAATCTGACACCGTGGTGCATTATCTGTTTTGGCAACCGTTTTACCTCCTTTGTTACTGAACCTCAGACTGTCAGAGCTGGAGGGCAACTTGGAAATCATTTGATCCAGAAATTTCCGACCCGACTCCCGGCAAGGTCACGATAGGGTCTTGAGGCTGTTTTCAAAATTCCAAAATGTGTAAATGGAATCACATGTTAACACAGCGCACTGGAGAATTTTTGTTTTCTCTGGGCAGATCTGACCACATCCCTGCCCTTCAAACCCTTCAGAGTCTCCCCATTACCCACAGGGTGAGGTCAAGCTCCTTAGCCGGGCACACAAGACCCATTAGTCTCGTAGCCCGTCAGAGCCTATAAATGCCCCTCTCAGACCATGAATCAAACTCAACCTCAGGTCACGCATATCAGGCTTTAGAAAAGAGACACTTTTTTTACACCTCTGCTAGAATGTTCTTTCTGAAATAGATTTGATCATGCCAGTCTTCTGCTTGAAATGGCCCTCCTGACTCCTTATTACCCTGGGATGATGCGAACCCCTCAGGATGACACACGAGGTCTTCCCACTATGGCTTCATCTGCCCACGCGGCCTCGCCTGCCTCCTCCTCTCCTGTGCCCCACCTTTTGTATGGCACTTCTGGTCTACCCGACAGGACAGGACTTTCCATCTCCGAGACTCTGCTCAGGCGGTTCCTTCTGCCCTCGGGGCCTCTCTTGGTCCTGCACCTGGGGGTGGGTACTTGCAGAACCTGCTCAAATAGGATGGCTTCCTAAACCCTGAGGGCACTGTGTAGACCTGTGTCTGCACTGCCATCACATTTTCTCCCAGGACCCCCTGCACAGTGCGCTCCCCGCATTCCCACGTCAGTGTTCCAGACGCCGAGGGAGAGCCTGGAACATGGGTGGCTGTGGGGGAATGCATGCGGGGTCTTCTCTTACCGGGGTTGGCAAATCCTCATCAACCCAAAGCTCCCCTGTGTTTGACACGTTACTATTTTCATGTCTAGAGGGCCACACAGTAGATGGAAAACCAGACAATACAAATAAAGACAAAATCAGCCCCCCACATTTGACTTAGGTTGAGCCCCGTTTCCTGGGGGGTGCGGTGAAGGAGTGAAGGCACGGGTTTGAATCCAGCCGATCTAGGTTAGCATCCCCACTGCCGGCTGCCCACGGCAGAGGCCCCCAGCGACACACGTGCGGTTGGTGGGCTTACCACTCATTGCAGCGAGGGGAGCCGGGCATCGGTGTAAGAGGGCGTCAGAAAGGGCTGATTACAGCACTGGGCTTATGTTAGACGATCTGGGGGGGGGGGGATCAAGAAGGTAAGGTTTTCTGTGGGTTGGATGCCCTCAGGAAGCGGGAGTATGATTATTTTGATAAATCTTATCTTGAGAGCAGAAAGAACAGAAAAAGGTGAAAGGTAGGAGAGACACACACTTGGTCTTTTTTGCAATGTAGACAATGTTCGTGTTATTCCCGTGCTGGGCCATGGCTGCCGAGAGGCCTTGCCTTGCCTTGACCCATCACGGTCAGAGTGGCCCTGTCCGAGCTGATGCTCTGTGAACTGTTCACGCCAGCAGAACCCCAAGGCCGCGCGGTGACCGGGCTCCTGGCATCGGCTCTGCTCTCCCTCTGGCCTCCCTGTTACCCACTTAGTGCCCGTAGGGCTCTGTGAAGGCTCCGTAACCCATCTGAGAGCCAGTCTCCTTATCTGCAAGATGAAGCTAGACATCCTCTCTGTGAGCCGCGCGGCGAGCATGGAAGGAGAAAATACTCATTGATTGTCTGGCACAGAGCAGGATCTCAACCAAGGTTAGCGCCCTTATGTCCGGGCACCTGGCTTTATACTTCCTCTACCGAAGATGATCTTAGGCCTAAAAAGCACCTGTTGGTGGCTTCTCCTTCACAGCACATGAATGCCACTGCGACTGGGCTCTGCTATGATGCCGAATGATGTCTGTGGGTCAGCCCGGGGAAACGGGACAGAAAGCATGTGGGGTTCCCAGGCTGCCGGCCCTGTGGATGACAGAGACTTCCACATATCTGCAGGGCACACGTGTGAGCCACGGGCTCCCCTGCGTCAGCCAGGTCGAACCACAGAGCAACGATAGCTTACATTTACAGACACGTCTTCTGCCTGCAAAGGGCTTTTCTGTACCCGTTTGTGATCTCACGTGGTGCCACACTGAGGCTCTGCACAGGCCAATCTGGCAATCCTATCTCCTTTCACACAGAAGCAGCAAGGCTCGGCGGCGTTGGGTGACTTGCCCAAGGTCACTCAGCCAGATGCTTTACGTCTGTCATCTGAATCATTCCCTCGGCCTGGGTCCTGGGTCAGACTTTCCCCTGAGTGCTATGTCCACCACAGTTCCTGTGGCTTTGTTTTAAGACTCTGTTGTTTGGATCTATTTAAAAACCGGATAGTAATAATAATCCTGACTACATGCATTTTATTTTCAATGCTTACAAAGCACTTTCATATTCATGAAATCTTCTGATTCTGGGCCAGCCTTGGGGGGTAGCTGTTCTAATTATCCATGATTCCCCAACGAGGGGACCCCGGTTTAGAGGGGTTACATGCCTACTTAGGGTCATCTGCTTGGAACCATGTTCAGACCCAAGTCCCCTGAACTCTGTGTCCTTTCTTTTTATTATTTATTTATTATTTTTTAAAGATTCTTCCTCCCAGGGTATCTGAAGGTCAGCTTTCTCGCTTTCTTTCCATTGAATACTAGAAATCCATCAGGTAATATTTTATATGTCTTGGGTTCCCACTACAAAGATCAGTATTAAAAAAAAAAAAAATGACAGCAACTTGTTCTCGATGGCAATATCTGTTGCTAGGAGGAAGACAGAACAAACCATTCCCCATTGTTATAGATGCTTTGACTTGACAGCTGGGAAAGTCTGATAGGCAGTTTATTTACTTAGCCATTAAACCAAATAAATGTTTTCATTTTTCTTTCATCTCCTCAAAAGCCAACATTCTGCTCTTAAAATTGGTCCAGCAACACATCAGTGAAGTATAAATTACCTGCTATTCCCACACCAGCCATTATAATATTATTTGGGTCCTTTTTTTTGCCCCTGTTGACCCAGTCTTTCGAAGACACGTGATTTTCCCAGGCGGAAGGGTAGGGGGCAAATGCAATAATTGAAGATATTTCACTTTATTGCTAAAGCAGAAAGTCTGTTTGAGATGGCCCTGAAGCTTCCACCTTCAAGGACGGAGTCTGTTGGTTTCCTTTTACTGGGGTGCAACACGGCTTTACCAACACATGTCACCCCTACCCACTCAGAACCGGGCAGGGTTTCTAAGGACAAGGGCAGCTGGAGATAGGGCGTGAGAAAGATGGGACTCTTGCTTCCCCACGGTACGAAGGCACGGGGGAAGTACAACCAGGAGCGTAGCTAGGTACTGAGGACCTGTGGTTAGTGAATGCCCAGCTGGTTGTTGGGTGAATAGAGTGGAGGCAGAGAGATCCAATGTGACTTGGGGGAGCCCAGAAGGCCGCTCTGGACTCCCTGTGGGTGTCCAGGGGTTACGTCTGCAGGGCTGGCACTGGCCCCCTGGCATGCAGTTCTCGGTGGACACTTGTGAAGCTGCCAGGCTAAGCTTTCAGACGGAGAACACTGCTTCATTGAAGATTATAGTCCAGCCCTCCTTTGGAGCTGGGAGCTACGTCCTATGAGTGACATGCAAATCTAAGACTGCTCATTTCTCAGAAGTGAAAGGGGGCCTGTGAGGCCCTAACTAGGGTCATTCTGATTATGGGATAGGGCAGGTCAGAGGGCTAAGAAGTGGAATTTTCTTTTCTTCCCCACTTCAAAGCTGTTTTGAGACATATTAAAAATTAATAATCTGAAGATAGACAGTACAAAGCAAAATCTCCCAACCAATGGCTTGGATTTTTGTGGTAGAATTTATTCAGCAAAATGTATAATGCATATAACCTACACTTACGGAACACATATGATGATGTTGGTGTTGCTGTTGGTGATGGTGATGGTAGCACTGGTGTTAGTGCTGGTGATGTTCTTGGTGGTGGTGGTGGTGGGTGTTGGTGTTGGTGTTGGTGGTGATGGCAGCTCACATCAGTTGGGGGCTTACTATGCGTTACAGATGGTGTTAAGAGCTCCATGTTCGTCACCCCGTGTAGTTCAAACAATAACCCTATGAGGCAGCACTATTTTTTCCTTATTTTCCAAAATAAGATGGAGACATTATAAAAATCTCATCAGGGTCACATAGCTAATAAGTGGTCAAGCCAGATTCTCAACTCAGAGGTTCTCACTCCAGAACCCAGATCTTTCAAGCTGAGTTTTAAGCTGAGCACTGAGTGTCTGCCTCCATGCCAGAGACTCATCTTATGCTATCTCAGTTAATGTAGTGGATAATATAAGCCTCTTCTGGAAGATGAAGAAACCAAAACTCAAAAGAAATTATAGTTCTTGCCCAAGATTTCCCGCTCTTAGGTAGCTGAGCTAGAATTTGAACTCAAGTTCCAAATCCTGAGCTCTTCTTGCTGGACCATGCTACGTCCATTTCCAGCTCAGCCATGGCTTGGGGCTCTGGATGGAGCAGCGAACGCGGAACACGCCGAAGCCCCACAAAACAGTTCAGCTTGAATGACTGTCTCAGGCTGAACAGGCTCGTAAATACAAGTGTTGGATACATTGATCTGCAAATGGTGTAACTCATCTTTGTTTTCTAGAAGAACTTCAATTTTAGGATGATGTTTGCCGTTATCCTGATGAATGGCTCGTCGCCTCTAGTTCATTCATCAAATTTTTCAAGGCAAGACGGAGCATGTGAAATAAAACATATGCAAAGCGGAGTAAACCTCCTGGGGATTCTTCCCAAAGGAGTCCACCCATGAGTCTCAACTTTTCTCTCTCCTGGAACATTGATTTTGCCTTGAATTCATGAGCTCCCCAGATTGCTTTGCAAGATCAATACTTTAGATGGGTATCAGTCTTGTGAAGACTGATCATGGTTCGGGATGGCACGAGGTATCATCACATACTGTTGTACTGATATAATGTGGCAAAATAGACAGTACATTAAGTTCTTGGGTCATGAACTCTATTAACAAAAGGCACTACCAAAACACTGTCTTAGCTTTCAATAACCATCCAAATAGCTTACGCGAGAACTGAGAAGGATTCCGAAGTAGCCTCAGAATCCATTTATGAACAGTAAAAACTATTTACCATTTTAATGGTTCAGACCACGCCGCTCAGGACTAAATAGGAGGGAGTTCTATGGATGAGCCTCACAGTCCCACACATCTATGGAAAGCTAGGAAAGTATCTGAAAATTGAACACATTTGTCAAGGAGTGACCCGAGAAATCATGTCTGGGTAACAAGGTGTACTTCTGTCTCTTGAGAAGGTTTGCTTCATCAGCAACTCTTTCTTTCCATCACATCAGATGTATTGAAATGTAAGTGCCAAAAGCCACTTGTCGTAAATGTAAGTGCCCCTCTCTCAAAGTCGCTGCCGATGGAATCTGAAGTGGGTGGGGGTGGGGGCGGCAGGCTACACGCTGGCACAGGAGCGGACAGCAGAGCCTCAGAAGCGAATGCCAGGCACCTTTGGGCTTTGAATTTCCCTTTCACATTGGGAAGGGCCGGCCCTTTTGGCTAGACAAAGCTCCCATGATCTTACATCTCTGCCAACCCTTTTCAAGCACTGCTTAGTTTTGCTGCTTAGTCTGGCTTCTCAGTGTGTTTGGTTGCTGACCTCTTCAGATCTGTGGAGTGTAGGCAAATGCAGTGACTTTGCCTAAAAGATTAAAGCATCAGAACCATGTCTCACTGAAAACTCATCAGGGTGGGCAGAATGTGTCCATCTCGGAATCGATGCTTTCAGAAACGGAATCCACCTTACGTTATCCTGACCATGCCTCATTCTGTCACCACCACTCACTGAGAACGTATCATTAATAAAATGATATGGCCATTCCCCACTCCTCTCCCTGACCCCTCCCTCCCAATATATGTCAAAGGTCATGCATCCATGAGGAAAAATAAGGTGACAGACCACTCGGCAAGGGGAGATGATGTTAACGTCGGGGATAAACTCGGGCAAGGGGAGACGGTACAAACACCAGGGATGAGCTCAGGCGAGGAGAGATGATACAAACATCAGGGATGTAACTCTCAAAAGTGAAGAACAGGCAGACAGGAAAGCAGATGGCTCACGGATGAAGGAGACAAAAGGACAGATACCTACCCAGACCTGTGCTATCTAGCTACCGGCCTGTGGACTTATATGATCAGCACTGGGCTCCCCACTGGGCTCCCCAAATGGATCACTGTTGGATGAGGCCTGTGATCCATCAGGCTAGAACACAAGAAGATAACACTTTTTTTTTTTCCTTGTCAACAATTGAGAACATAAGACAACTGGGCACACTTTCATGCACACATATAATCGGCTGTTTGAACGGAGGCAGCGACTTCGGCTGGAGAGTGCCGCACTCACAGACGCGAGAGCATGTAGGAACGACTTCATACAAGGACAATGTTTGCAGCGGCTCGTCTGCACACAAAGCCCCGCGGTGACCCCTCTGGAACTTCAGCGCCTGAGCCAGCGCTGTTTTCCACATAGGTTTCCTCATGCATTGTCCACTTCACACAGGTTTTGGTTTTAAGAAAAAACAAAACCAGAAAGAATAAGCCCGTCACTTACAGCTTCTTGCTCTTCGCTTTTGCTGGGACTTTCGAAGCCCTCTTCAAAGATGTCGTCTGTGGTGGGATCACTGGCATGGGACGCAGATGACTTGGATGGAGAGCTCTGTCTAGGGGCTGGGGTGGGCGCTGCACAGAGACCATGCAGAGAGGAAACACCGTGAGTGGCAGGCTGCACCCCACCAAAGCCTCAGCGACCTGGTTATGTTCGAGTCGAATGCAGGACTCCTCTTCCTACCACAGGTCAAATCAGTAGCACAGTTTAATATTTCCTCTGTGCCTAATTATCTTGTCTTCCCATATTCTTTGTAGTCTACCTTTTCTCTCTTTTTTAAACTTTATTTTTATGGTTGACACTATTACAGATGTCCCCATTCCCCACTCCTTTGCCCACCTCTGCCAGCCCCCCCTTCCCTCTGGCTATCACCACACTGGTGTCTGTGTCTAAGGGTCATGCATATATGCTCTTTGGCTAGTTCCTTCACCTTCCTTCATCCAATCTTCCCTCCCCTCTCCCCTCTGACAGCTGTCAGTCTGTTCCATGTATCTCACATTCTTGACAGTCAGGAAGGAGCTGGTCCTCACCAATGACATGATCGGTGGTTCTCAAGGGACGATCCCTGAATGAGCGGCATCAGCCACATCTGGGCATTTGTCAGAAATGCAAAAATTTTGGACCCCACTCTAGACCTAATGCATCAGAGACTCGGTGTTTCCGCACACTCCAATTGAGAACCACACTGTTTTTCTTCTCTCCTTCTTAACATCATACACTTATTCAATAAGAATATACAGATCAGAGGACAGTAATACACATTGATTGAATGCCTTCTATCTGTCAGAAACTTTACGAACAGCATCCGTAGCCCTCACGAAGCCTCTCCGGAGTGGGGTTATCACGATGACATGATAAGCGAGTGAAGGTGGGCAAATTGCTCCAGGCCCCACGGCTGGCACCTGGGGGAACCCGGCTTCACGTGCTGACCCATGGTAGGCATTTGATGGGCTCGTGCTGAGGAGTGTCTGAGTGGCCTGGGAAACGGCCGTACCGATGGCAAGGTCCCAGCTAGTACCGTGTTCCTCATCCTGTAAGGACATGCTTTTTCTGTCCCGACATTCCCGCATTTTCCTGTCGCATTTTTTCCAGAGGTTTATAAAAAACATGCCATGTGACACTACCCTTCCTCCTAAAATTTCCAATTTGCCATTGAAAATGCCAGTCACTGACTGGCTCAGACCAAGGGAGGGGTAGCACGGCCTGAGTTAGTAGCGGAATTTCAAATGCCATTGATGAGAACCCCCTACCTTGACTTTTGAGAATTGTACATAATCTGGCCGCTTATCAGATGGTGAATGAATATAGACCCTGGAGTCCCTTTTGCCGTGAGGGACCTGTATTTAGAATAACGATGCAGTTAGTGGCGTGCCAGCAAGCTAGACACAGGCTAGGCACCGCTGTATTCAATATGCTCTAACATAAACGCTGCCGTTGTTTTGTCTTTTTCCTCCTGAAAAGGAGGTGAAGTGACCTTCTCAGAATTGACAGGGCTATGAAACTAGGGCCCTGGGTTTAACAGTCTGCTCAGCTGTGCTTTTCTGTGTGAGGCTTACTGTGGGTCTGACTGACCTCCATGAGAAACGTCTGAAAGATGATGCTGATGAAGAAGAGGACAGAAAGGCTGGTTTCACTCATTCTCTTTAAAACAAAATACATGTCCCTGGCTGGTGTGCTCAGTGGTTAGAGTGGCAGCCCGTGGACCAAAGGGTCGCGGGTTCGATTCCTGCTCAAGGGCACGCACCTGGGTTGTAGGTTCTATCCCCAGCCCTGGATGGGGTTGTGCGGGAGGCAACCAACTGAAGTGCTTACTTCACATCAATGTTTCTCTCTCTCCTTCCCCTCCGCCCCTCCCTGCCACTCTCTCTGGAAATCAATGGGGAAAATATCCTCGGGTGAGGATTCAAAAATAAATATAAATAAAATAAAATATGACGTTTTTCTCTAATTTAGAAGGAAGCCCGCTGTGTTTCATGAGATGATTATGGAACGAACTAGTCAGAGTGGGTTTAAGTGAGATAGGCTATATGGAAACACCCTGATTAACTTGTGGATGCTCATGAATTATCAGTGCAATTCGATCCTGAATTGTATTTGACGTGGTTTATTGCTCACTAAGGGCTAAGAACTCCAGCTGAGCTGCCGATTCTGAGAGGTGTCCAGTCATACCTATGGGATGAAAGCAACAGGGAGTCTAACTAGTAGTTCATGTACGCAAGTGTTTACCCTGTCAAAGGCTTAGCGGAATACCTCTAACTCTGGGCTATTTCGCTCCCAGGGGACTTCTGGCCTTATGCGGAGTCATTTGGGTCATGACTAGGGAGCAGAAGTATAACATGAGTGGCCTTTGTTTGGTTTGCTTCATCCTCTGGACCCTCCCCAGTGCCTCCCCGTTCTAGATGCTAGGCCAGAGCACGAGAGGTGTAGGCGTGATGAAGACACGGTCCCTGTCCTCAGAGGACTTCCCTCTGCTACCTGCAGCCGGCCCACCAAAAGAGAAATACTCGTTTTCAAAAGATGCTCGCTTGTTTATGCATGCCTGTCATTTCTTCAGCATTTCATTTTTATTCATGATTCTTCATTGAACAGAGATGCCCCCACTCTGGAGATCATCTGGCCCTCGCGGAAGCAGGCTGCTGATGCACATGGAAGGCATTTGTTTTCAGAACAGCATCCCGAATCTGGCCAAAATGACACTATCTAATTATGTTAACATGAGACTTTTTTTTTTGACAATTCATGGTATTGGCCGAGCAGTGATCCGTGTCATCTGTGACAGTAATGAAAATGCCAAATTCATTGCTCCATGAACCTTTCCTTTCCCTTTATCAATTGTCAAGGCACAGGATGAACCGCCAGTCACCCGCCCCGAACAGTGTCGACCAAGCACATGTGTGTTCAAGTGTATCTGGACTCCGAGGGGCGGCACGCTTCTGGTTTTCCAGATATTTGCCGTAGAAAAGGGAGCTGGGCTAGCACCACGGAGTGTCAGAACAGGCATGGGGTGCCCTGCTCATCACTTATTTTACCCTCGGCACAGCTGGGGCCTAGAGAAGTCGCACACACGTCCAAAGACAGCTTGTGGGGGAGGGGTCGAGATGAGAACCCTGGCCCAGAGCTCTGCACAAAATCGCTCAATATGCAATAGCAATGATAAAACCACTTCAGACTCTGTGAGGTACACTGTATAATGGTCTAGTGCATGTACCCTGCATCCATCTCATCACCCTGAGCCGAAGATAGATGGGGAAATCCAGGCTCCTAGCAATAAAATGACTTGCACATCAGCACAAAACGAGTAAGCAATAAAGCTGCTGTCCAGGTGCCCAGTCCCAAGCTTCCTGCTGTGTCTTCATTTTTTTTCTCTCGGACTAGCCTGAGCTCTGAGTCAGAATCTGGCTTCAGTTGTACCAGTTGTAGGAGGCCCTATGGTTGCTATATCTCTGCCCTAAGTTTTCTCCTGATCTTACGTTTGTAATTTTTTATCCTTGCTCCTAAACCTTTTCTTAACTCACATACATCATTCGTGTTTATTTCAATGAACCATACAGAAATGTGTGTGTCATTGCGGGGGTATACATAAGTGAATGAATGAGTGAGCGAATGAACGAATGGATGAGCACATGGACAGAAACCTAAGAGGCAGGGTGACTGGCAGAGAGACAACAGACTTCAGTTCAGTTCTACCTCTTTGTCTCTTCTCTTTGTCGTCGAGTCTCACTTTCATTATCTGTCGAAGAAGTCTAACAGAACTTGTCAAAACTTGTCTCATTATTGTAAGTATAAAAAGAACAAATATAAAGCACGTGGGGAGGTATGTACACTATAACTGGTACCTAATAACTAGTAGCTATTATGAGTAGTAGGGTGATATAAACACAGAGTCCCGGTGACTGGTACTAAGGTGAGTTCTCGACCCCAACAACGCCTCCCTCTCGCTGGGTTTATGAGGGGCACTCACGTGAGTTGGTCGATGGCGTGGTAGAAGTCACAGGGGTCAAATTCAACTGGGAGATGTCAAAGTCATCACAGTCATCTGTGTCCTGTGCCACCCCGACCTTGTTGAAGTAACTGGAGAAGGCCTCTGAGGTACAGGTGAGGGAGGGTTGGTCGGGTTTGCGGGAGGGCACCGGCGGAGGCTGGGCCATCTGGAAATCCTTAAACATCTCTTTCCCCATTTTCTGCCTGGGCTTGTCGGTCTGTGGACTTGACCTGGTCGAGTCACCAGTGGCTGGGACGGTTGCAAGGGGGGTGAGGGGACCTTGGAACATGGCGGCTGGCAAAGGCATGACAGTTTGTGTGGGCATGAAGGCGGCTGGCGGAAACTGCCCGGCCACAGCTGGCCAGGGCTGCTGCGTGGCCGGGAAGAGACCTGGCTGGCCCCAGGCGATGGGCTGAGCCCCCGGCATCACCTGAGCGACTGGTGGCTGGGCACCCATGGCGATCTGCTGCTGGACGAGGGGCTGCTGGCCCCAGAAGGATGGGAGGACGGCGCCCATGGCAACATAACCTGGAAGGTGAAAGAGGAGAGTCAGGCATCCCGGGAAAGAATAGCGCATGGAGTCAGGGGGTCGGCAACAGAGCACTGGGCCAGGTACTAAGTGTCAGGCTGGGGAAGAAGGAAAACTAAGGCACACGCCCCTGCACTCACGGAGCCTGTGGTCTTGGGAAACCTCTCTGCGGAGGTGACCCGTGAGCAGAAACTAATTGCAGTGAGGGAGCAAGCCAGGCGCACATCTGGGCGATGACAGTAACACTGCTCCAGTTGGTCGAGGTCTCTGACGTCCTAGAGCCTCCAGAGGTCTAGGCACCGGGCACATCTGGGGTTGAATCTTGCCTCCCCTCTTTGCTAGGTCTGGGGCCTTCTCAACGGCTTGGACTCTTTGTTGTAAAGCCGGGTGTTAACATCTTCCTTCCCAGCATCAAAGCCGTGTGCGAAGTGAACAGAAACGGGAATGTGGGAGTTGTAGACGCCAAGGTGAACATCCCGATGCCACTTCCTATTTGTGGAGTCTGGGGAGAGCTCAGGGAGCTTCCGAACCTCTCTGTCCTTGTCTGTAAAACGGGCACACAGTACCTTCTCCCTCGGTGGGGTGGTTTAAAGACCCAGTTGATATATTTAAGGCGTGAAGTGCTACCCCCGACAGAGTGAACATTCAGTAAGTGTTGGCGACTAGGATGATTTGAATCAGGGCCTCCGACATGTACTTCATAGCGTGCGGGACTACGAGAGACGCGCAGCCAGTGGCAGCTGGAGGTGCTAGTCCACATTTCCGAATTAGCATTATGCCCATTTTGGGGATTAAAAAATGTAGGTTACTGTCTACTCAGGTGCACCTAGTACAGCAGCCCCCGCGGGCGCCGTGAACACCCGAGAGGTGCCCTCTCACGCGTTACCGTGGTAATTGCCGTGATGTTCTTTGGGGGGAGGTAGTTACTTGGAAAGGAGCACAAGCACTTTCGACAGTAACGACAGTAACACTAATACTTCCCCTTACTAGATGCTCACACTGTGCTGGTACCGCGTCAGCGCTTACATTTCACAGAATCCCTGAGGAGGAGGTACTCTCTCGTTTAGGGGTGAGGGGAGGGGTGCGCAGACAGGAAAAGTGCCTCGCTCAGGGTCACACAGCTGGCGCGAAGTGGGGTCAGGATCTGAGCGGAGGTCCTCTGTCCGCGATCTTCCCCAGCACCTTACTGTCCCCCCAGACAGACAAGGCCGATCTCTGCCACGAGCAGTCCGTGCACCTGGTCTGGCCGTCGAACGTTTTAGCACAGTGGGCCTGGGACACAGCTGACCGGGCCGCAGAGAGAGAAGCTAGCTTCGCCTGGCCCCTCAAGGCAAGCCTTTTCACGCTGCCGAAGGAGTCCGCAGGCACCAAGCCGTGCGGCCAGGAAAAGAGGGGGAGTGGGTGCGGGGTATCAGAGCGATTTCCACAGGAGGACAGGCAGGCGCCATGGCACTGGCCATGGCACGGTCATGCCAGCGACTCTGTGAGCCCAGAGAAATCAGGTGCCCCCATCTCAGACCCACCTGTCCTTCGACTGGTAAGGGATGGAGCCAACACCGAAAGCCAGGTCATTGCCTTGCAAGGTGAGAGACACTCCAGGGGGCCGAGACAGGATTCAGGGACAAGTTCGTCTTGATTAACGGAACAGTGTTAAGTGCTTTTATGGAGTGAGGCAGGGACATCAACGAACAAAATAGACAATATCCTGAAAGGACCACCTTAGTCCTAGCGCACCGGAATAAAAGGGATGAAAGAGGCGTTGCTGCTGAGATTTCAGGCTTGGAACTTGCTAATGACAGTAAGCAGGACTCTGCCTGCTGCCTTGCCTATCATATAATAACATCGGGACTTGAACCTACCGACAGACTAAGAACTGCTCCTTTGTTCTTACCTTCTGACTTACTTGGACGGGGCTCGATGGTTCTGTGGGAGCGCTACCGCCCCCTAGGGGACGATGAGGAAATCTGTGGGGTGTATTTTGGTTGTCATAACTTGGGTAGGTGGCACTATGGGCATCACAGAGGCCAAGAGCATTGGTACCACACATCCGTTGAGGTGTGAGATCAATGAGAACAAAAAATTATCCTACTTTCTGTTTCTGATCATTTGAGTATAGGTGGACTTTGCATCACACAGAAATCCAAACTTTCTTGGCGCAATGGTTATGCACTTAATTTTCGAGGAATGTGACAGCTGTGTACACTGAAGGAAGACTGTAATTTTGTTTTGTTTCCAATACCATCAAGAGTTGTCCACCCATTTGGAAAGCCACGGTCCCCAACAGAAACCCTGCAGGGGGTGTTTGGGCCAACATGACACTCCCGTATCAGTGGCGATCATATTTCTAAGTATACACACCCGCCTGCTTAGTATGTCTTCTAGTGTGGCTGCGGCTGTGCCTGGGAGTTTCCTTATTAGAATGCATACAGTTTTGTTATAAATTAGCTTTCTTTTATTTCCTCCTTATGTTACTGTGAGGGAAGTATATTGATCTTTTAAAAGCTGTATAGATGGGATATATCATCTATGAACTTCATTTAACAATGCTACCAGTATTTGTTACAGAAAGGACAGCACCGACTCAGAGTGGAGAGCTGCTCCTGACCTTCATCTACCCTGGTGCCCATCTTGGTGAGCGATGGACGGCGTCAGCCTCCCCAGCCTATTTTTTGCTTTGCTTCCTTTCTTCCCTCCTTGTTGCCCCCAGAGGGCTGTTCTAAAATGCAAATACAGGGCTTCATTTTCTTGAGTATTAGGCTCAGGTGCCTTAGCTTGGCTTATGAGCCTTTGGGGGATCAGCCCCCTCGCCACCTCTTCATCCCTATTTTCAACTATTTTTCCCACTGACGTCTTTTCCTCCAGCCGCTGTAAGCAACCCTCAACCTGCTCTCTCTTGCTCTGCTGTCCGTCTGCCTAGAAAGCCATCTCCACGTCTTCGTGTGGCTGCCCCTTCTCTGCTCTTCGAAACTCAGTCAGCATCACCTCTTCCGCACACCTTCCCTGACCTTTAGGCTCGTTGCTTCTCCTTCCCTGAGCTTCCACCGTCCTCGTGGTCATCTCTCGGGGCACTTGGCACACTGCCTTGCAATTACCCGGTTAGACTAGAGACCACCCTCATTGGACTAGAAGCCACCTGCTAGGAGAAGTCCCCCATTTCCTCTCTCCCTCTCCCCACTCTGCGTGCAGCACAGTTCTGGGCACACGGCAGCTGCTCCGTAAGTGCTCGAGACTGGCAAAGGCTCTGTACACAGGTGAATGAGTCACAGTAGAACAAACAGCTTCACTGCGTTTTCCCAAGTGTGCAAGTAAAGTCCAAGGTCTGCACGTGCTCTAACCTCTGATGAAGCTACTGTTGGTGGCAGGGTTTTTTCTCCCCCACTCTTATCATTTTTTTTTCCTACAAGGAACCAACAGATGGGCTGTGCACACTTTTCTGGAGAGAGCTATTAGCATGTCTCTGTGGCTTCATGCCATCTGTTTCAGACCAAAGTACAATATTCAACAGGAAAAATAGGCAGCACAGGGTAATTGGGTATCATGTCTGTGAACTTGCAGGTCTCATTTGCTTTTCCTGTGGGGGCGGTTCCTGTAGCCTAGTTCTGTGGCCACAGAGCATCTGACGGGACACCTCAGTGGCAGGGCTGTGGTAGCCCTGAACACAGGAAGCCTTTTGGTGGCTGCCACTGTAGCCACATAACAGCTCAGTAACTGTTTACTCATGAACGTTCTACGGCGAGGGGACGAGGTGCCAAGGAGCATCTGTTGGTGCCATGGAGTTCAGATCAATCATAACCCTCCTTGCTGTGCAGTGAAGGGGAACACCTGCATTGCTCCCTTGCAGTTAGATTTTTAAAAGGTGTTGAAAATTGCAGTTTAGAAACCAGATGCTAGTACCTGGGGACACACTCATTATTTGCAAAAAGAAAAAAAAAAAATCAGACTAAAGGGTAAGAAAAATACTGAAACTAAGGGACTCCCCCAACATACATAGAACTTGCATGGTGTCTCTTATCTACATTATTTCATTTGATTGACTGATTGATTCATTCTTTAAAAAATATTCCTGCTTGGTGCCAGCTCTGTTTTAGTCTCTGGAGATGCAGTGAGGAGCGAAACTGTTAAAAAAAAAATCCTCACCCTCGTGGAGCTTAGGTTTGTAGAGAAACTGCAGCTGCGTGAGGGAGGTTTGACGCAGCTACACAGAGTGCGGGTAGCAGAGCTGGGGCTCCTGGTGAACCGCGGGCAGACACCGGGGGAGTGTGCACTGAGGGAAACGCTTAGGCGTCAACGGCTTTCAACATCTTGCTGCAAGTATGAACGTGTGCAATGCTCAGAACAGCACCACGAGGTGGAATCCTTATCCATGACCTACAGTAAGTTTCCGAGACCCAGAAGAGACTGAGCTGAGTATTACACAGCTGGCTAGTGGTGGGGCCTACACTCTCCAGGCCCCCCAGGCCCCCCAGGCCCCCAGGCCAGCTCTGCCATGCGCAGTCAGGAGGCCAAAGACCTAAACTTTATTAGATGTATTTTTTTTTTTTTTAAAGACATTCCAGCCCTGGCCATTTTGGCTCAGCGGTTAGAGCGTCGGCCTGCGGTACAGAGAGACCCGGGTTCGGTTCCCGCTAAGGGCACGTGCTTCGGTTGCAGTTTGTCCCCGGCCCTGGTTGGTCGTGCGGGTGGCAGCCACTCGATATGTCCCTTCACATCGATGTTTCTCTCTCTCTCTCCCTTCCTCTCTTTCCCTGCCACTCTATCTGTATAAAAAATGAAAAAATACCTTCGGGTGAGGATAAAAAAAAAAAAAGACATTCCAAGAAGATAAAAGAAAATAATATAGGCAAGACAAGACACATTCTTTTTCTATTGCAGAAAACAGGGTGATGATAATGAACGCATTTTTTACATGAAGCATCTACAAAATACCAGCATACTGCAAGGCACTAAACTTTTCATTTAATCCTTATGCTACTGTTCAAGGTAAGTATTATTTTCAATTCACTTTTAAAGATGAAGTAGCTCTGGGTCGCACAGGTTAAGTCATCTGCCCATAGGTCTAAAGCTTATAAATAAATGGCTGAGCCAGGTTTCAAACCCGGCCCGCTGGCTGCAAAAGCCTCCCTCAGCCTGTCCACTATGGGGCACACGCCACCTGTCACTGGGCTGTGATCAGGGCAGGGAGACAGAGACCCAATAGCTGCAGGAGGGAGGGCATACCGTCGAACACCAACTGAAGCTTAGTTCTGTTCCTCACCGTATTCTGAGTAGAGTAAGAAAGCAAAAACATGCTAATTAAAATTGACTTTAGATTTACACTCTAAAACTAGGAAGCTTTTCTTTTTCTTAGCAGCTGAAAAAAAAAACCAATTTGGATGTGCAGAAATGGCTTGTCCATAGTGTGCAACATGGCCGGGCAACCAGCAAGAATAAAATCTAGGCCTTCACAGCCCGCATCTGGCAGAGGCTGGGGAACGGGCCCAGGGCAGCACGTGCCTGGCACCTCAGGTCCTCAGGTGCTTTTCATCAAATGTTAGGGCTGGAAGACAAGTGCAGTGGCGCCCAGTCCTACCCTCTCACTTACTGGGAAGGGAACGGAGGCTGGGAGGGGCCAGGTCATCCCTCCTCACCCCAGCGTACTCTTCACCCTGATACCTTCTGGACTCTCGCCTGGCCTCCCAGTCTGTTCATGGCTCATCCGTGCACAAGCCCCTCCTGATCACAGCCTCTACTTACACCTGCCCTTCACCCGCTCCAAAGCCCCCTACCCTGCTCTACGTTTTTGATCTGTCCGTACCACTCATCATTTTCTAACTAGCTACCTAAGTTATTTTTATACTGCTGCTTGTCTCCCTTCTAGAAGTAAGCTCTCTGCAGGCAGGGTCTGTGTCTGTTGTATTCACTGACACACCCAGGCACCGAGAATGGCGCCTGGAGCACAGTGGGCACTGGGCCGACATCTGTGGAACGAACATGCCTACAGATTGGGGAGTTTAGTGCCTAGAGTTCCCACACCCGTCCCAGCATATCTTCATGAATCAGATAATGAGGACAAAGCCTGGGTATCCGGAGCACAAGCCCGAGGCACAGGAAGCTGGTGTGCCTGATAGAAAGCTGTCATTCTTATTTAAAATGACACACAGGATCCCCGAGGACATTTAAAGATCCGTTTTAGGTAAGGAGAAGTATGCATCACCACTGTCCCATTTTAAAGAAGGATAAAACAGATACCATTGGGAAACTTAGCAGCTGAATCCATTTCTAGGCTTCTTCATTTCCTAATTTGTAAGCAGATCCAGTGGCCACCAACCTTTGTTGCTTCTAAAAGTTCATAGTGGTCCCTGGGCTCATGAGGAATAAGTGTAACTATTTCAGAACAGGGTGAACATGTTTAATTCACTTTGAATAACAACAAGGTTTATATTTGGTGGCAAGAATTTGCTTCTAACATTGTGTAATTAAAAGTAATTGTTTATAGAAAAAATGCAAGATTTGTATTGTAGAATATTTAAACTTGATCTCCTATTTATAAGAACAAAGTAGAAAAAGACAGATGAAGCTAAAAATTTCAAATATGTAGGTGAAGAAAGCAAACATTCTTTAAGTCTCCCCTGCATGCAAGAAGCAGAACTAATACCACCTTTGGCTGTGTCCGAGGAGGTTACAACCCCATGGAGTGCCTGATGCCATGGCAACGAGACGCCTGGGCTTCCGCTGATTTGTAACCCACCGGCAATACTGTTACTATGTATTTTTACCCTGTTGCGAAAGTAGTATATGCATTTCAAAGAATATTTGCAAAACAGAACAAGCACTTTCTAAACTACTAAGAGCCCTATCAGCCTCCCAATTCACTTGAAGCAGTTTGTTCTGTCCCTTCGGTTTCTTGTACGGGGAACTGCTCCCTCCTGGAATCTCTCCCAAATGAAGCAGATCATGTCTATCAATCAGAACTCAAGAGACCTTTGGAGAACTGACTTACCCACTCACCACGTGCCACCTTTTCTTCTCTGGCTGAGACGGACGGGGAGAAATGGCCCTGCACGGATTAGCACGGCCGTGTGTGCACCGAGCTCCCCAAAGCTGTACACCTCAGTAACCCGGACACGTGCCCACGCCAGGTGAAAGCCATCACTGAGCCCCAGCCAGCAGCACACCAGACCTTGGTAAACGACGCCACCCCCACACCCCCATGGCAGCTTCTCAAGGTCACCTGAAGAGTTACAAGGAGACAACGGTGGTTCCACAGGTGCGCTGGTGTAACGTGGCAGCTGGTTCAGTCAACCCTTCCTCCAAAGGAAGCCGGTGGAAGAGGCTTACCTGAGGGTACAGCAGCCGTGCCGAAAGGTACAGAGCCAAACATGTCTGCACTCGCCGGAAGGGTCTGAGATGAAGACGGGATAAAGGCATCACCTGGAGTTGCAGGAGTCTGTCAGACAGAGAAAGGCGGAGGGTGCGTGAGGCTCCTGGGAGACCTGTTCATCAAGGATGAGAGGCAGCAATGCAAAGTGCGTGTGTGCGCGTGCATGCGTGCGTGTGCGTGTGTATGTGCGTGTGTAGAGGGATGCTGCAGAAGCAAGCCAGGGTCCAGACCACTTAGGTGGTGTGCAAACCATGAGCTGGTTACATAGATTATCTGTAAAATGGGCAAAGTGATACCTTTTTCAAGAGCTGCTGTGAGGATTAAATGAGAGCAGGCGTTCAAATCACTTAGCACCACGCTGAGGCATACAGTTGGTGCTCAGCAAATGAGTCCCTAGCCCTTAGGGGTGTTTTCAGGCCTTCAAATTATTCCATAACTTCTGGCTTTCCTCCTTCAGACATGATCAGTTCCAAATGACATACACCATTCAGAACCCACTGTGTGCCCAGCTCAGGGCTTGTCACTTAAAACACAGCCAATAGCCTGGTCTGTGTGGTGCAGTAGTTGAGCGGTGACCCCTGTACCAAGAGGTCAACAGTTTGACTTTTGATCAGGACACATGCCCAGGTTGTGGGCCCAATCCCCAGTGGGGTATGCAGGAGGCGGCCAATTGATGTTCTCTCTCATCGATGTTTCTCTCTCCTCCCTCTCCCTTCCTCTGTCTCTAAAATCAATAAAGGAAAAAAAAGTTAAAAAAACACACACAGCCAATAAACATTTGTTGACTAAATGAACAAATAAAGCTTAGCACCTGGAGCAGAGGTCCTTGTATCCTGGTGCCTTCCAGAATTTTGCCTGAATTTTCACTTGCAAGAAGTAAATATTTTCAAGAAGATAACTTTAAGATGCCTGAGCTGTAAACTCTACAGGCCCATGCTGGAGTTCCAGAAAGGTCTGTGTGGGAACTGGGGGATAAGGTGACCAGCCCTGAATGAAAACCATCCCTGTGCAGTTTCTTTTCAAAGATCCCTACCTATTTACAGAGGCCCTCTGCCTACAAAGTATGTGTGTTTGATGACAAACTATTTTTATTTTCCCCCTCTGGGGATAGACTAGAGCAAGCAATTAACCCTGGAACCATGGCCGTTAGACAAGGCCATTTTTAGACGAGCAGCTTGTGGGAAGAGTGGCCCTGTTCTGAGGATAATTAAACATCCATTTGGACTGCACTTGGGGTCAGAGCCAGAAACACAGCCATGAGATGCTGCATTAAGCACTTTTAAACATAATCGACATCATTCTCTTTTCCCCTGAGTGACCTTGGGTGAGTCATGTGCCCTCTGTGGGACTCAGTCTGCTCATCTGTATAATGAAGGGGAGAAGGTTAGATCTCTCCAGGCCTCTCTAGCTTTACAGCCCCATGCTTCTGAGATTCCCAGTGCCCAGGACACAGCTGCTCCATCCGGGGAACGAGGAGGCAGTGAGACTTGCTAGAGGTGTCCAGCTTCCCTGGAGACAGGAGCTGCTGTCCCCTCCTCCACAGCTGCTCTGGACATCAGGTGTTGGGAACAGAACAGCTGTGCCCAGATTCCCTGGCGGCAGCTGTGGGCAGCAGGGTCTCATGCCATCTGTCCTCAGTGGTGAGGTTATAGCCTTTTCTCTGTGAGGCGCATCTCGCCAATGAACCATAGCACCATCCCTCGGTTTGCACAACTGCAAAGTGCCCAGGGGAGCTGCCCCCTCCCAGCAGCTACAGCTGGTGCAGCTGTGGCTGATGCTCCCCACCCACCTCCAGGGAGTGAGGAGTGGGGGTGAGAAGCTGAAGGGGCCATCTAGGCTGGCTCTGTTTGCAGTGGCTGCAGGGTGGCCTTTGAATGCATCCAGATCTCAAAGCACCGGGTTTCTTTTTGGTTTTGGTTTTAATTCTTTTTTTCTTCTTCTTTTCATTCTCAAATGAGGACTTCCTACAGTCTGTTTCTGTGCGAGCAATGGCTGGGATGCCCTGGCTGAGCCTGGAGCTGGGAATCCAAAGCTTTGTGAGAAGCTCAGTAGAGCCAGCAGGCAGGTTGGAAGAGGAGGGGAATGAAAAAGAAGAGGGAGAGAGGAAAGGGCGGGAAGGGGTGGGGAGAAGATGCTTCCTTCACTGGGCTGACCACTGGGCAGTGCGGGCTGGGTAGGTGCCTCATGGCTCACGGCGTTTGCTGTCCTGTTGAGTTTCTTGCCCATATTCCCCCTAGACCACGTGCGCCTTGCAGGCCGCGGCCACAGACCATTCATGTCTCTCTCCACTGCCCGGCACACCAGCCAGTCCCCAGGGGACCTGTGACTGCTAACGCATCCTCTGATTTGTTCCTCAAAATAGAAACCAGTACAATTCCTTTAAAAAGCAGCCTAGGAAATTGGGATTTAGAATTACGAGTTATTTTGCACAATTCACACAGCTTGAAGGAGTCGCAGCTCAGATCCACTGGCAGGCTTGTTCCCCAAAGCCCATGTTCTTGCCCCTGGGGGACTGGAGAGGGAAGGGGAGGGATGCGGGGCTCCGAGGGCAGTGCATACTTACGGGGGGAGAGGTTATATCAGGAGGGGTGGACATATCCCCAAAGAGTTCTAATTGGGTCACAGCCTGAAAAGACACAAAAGATAATGATGTCACCATAGGGACAGCTGCTGCTGCTGGGCACTGCTTGAAACAGCATCTTATGAGGACAGCACCCTATTTCTCTTGTCAACATACCTACATCGACAATCAGCCCCTGGGTCATTGCTATACCTCATGACAAGACGGCATCTGGGATGTGGCCAGAATCAGTTCTTGCTTCAGTGCCTCTGGCTGTTTATCTGGGCTCAGTCCAGGCGATCTGGGCTTGGCCACCTCCCATAAGCAACGCTAATACCATTCACACGTCTTCCCCATCGATGCAGCACCCTCTTCTCCGGGAGACAAGGCAAGAAAGCAGTCTGATCGCTGGTTTTCCTTTCATGCGTGTATCCACATGTACAAAACACCTTTCACATGCTAAGTATAGTAAGACATGCCTTCGTGGCCACCTCTCCCTCCATGCTCCCAATAACAATGACCCTGAGAGGTAGACATCCCCATTTTTACAGATGAATAAACCGAGCCTCGTGGGGGTGACCTCAAGGTCACCAGGCTAAGACTTGAATTTTCTGCACATAGAGTATGTAGTCAGGTGACAGTCCCTGAACGAGTCTGTCTTGAGAATAAAAAATGTAGTTGGAGGAAAAGAAAACATATCATTTAATACCAGGAAGGGCATCCAAAACAGCCCCGCGTATACACCATTAATCACTCCTAGAACTCCATCGCTGCAGACATCGTATCATCTAGACTCCCCATCCATCATGCAGGAGTGTCTGAGCAACGCCAGCCGTAGCTGAGGCAGAAACCCTGTAAGAGACACTTAGAAATGAGTCTGCATACTCTCCCAGCTTCAGAGAGTGGAGGGAGTCTGCAGCCTGGATTCCAGTGGCCAGACAAAAGTATATGATCATATGCTTTGTGCAAACCTGCCCAGTAAAGAGAAACACTCTCTGACCCTCTGGAGTTTACACTTCTAATTGGGGGAACCTGAAAACACCACTCAAGAGAAAGGGCAGGGAGCACGGCCTGCCTACCATGCATCTGGACCTCTGCAATTCACAGGGAGGAAGGAGGTGTCTCTCCGACTGACGGGCAGTGAGCTCTGGTGGCTGGACAAGGTCCCTCACCTGGGCACACATTTGGGTTCTACCACTTCCCATCTCTGCCAGTCCTCAGAGCTACAGTTCCCCCGCCTGGACAAATCTTCTTTGCAGATTTATTGACAATATTCACAGCAGGATTTTCTTTGAAGTCTGGCTAAGCCTGGTTTGAAAGGTACAAACGGCTCTTTAGGCTGAAAGAAGCTTAGCCTGGCTAACTCACTTTCAACTCTTCCTTTTAAGCATTCAGATGGAACAACGGTGCCCAGTTAAAGCAGGGCCCTGTACGATTAATCCCCTCCTAGCTGCACGGTGGTTTTTCCATATACATATACATATACATATACATATACATATACATATACATATACATATACACATACATATACACTGAACGAGTGTTAGGTGCCAGGCACTGTGCTGGGTGCTGGGAACATAACAGTGAGAAATGCCAAGTTCCTATCTGCAGGGAGCTTCCAGTCTGGTGGGGACAATCCATAGACAGAGAGAATTTCCAGGTAATAAGGCAGGAATAGCCACAGAGGGCCCTATGGGCGCTGCAGGGGCACCTAGCAAGGACCCAGCCAGCTTTGGGCAAAGAAGCTTAATGAGGGTTTTCTGAAAGAAACAGCTCCGATCTGAATCCTTAAGAAGAGGAGCAGTTAGCCAGGCATCCGAGAAGAGGAGGGGCAACCCAGGCAGACGGGATACGTGAGCGAAGAGGACAGAGGCCTGGCACTGTCTGAGCAGCTGGGCACATAAGCAGTTTGGGGGAACCTGCGTGAGGGTGGAAAAAGAAGCAGGAGAGGAGACCAGAGGACAGACAGGGGCCAGGCTGTGGTGGGAGGTGGTGCATTTCAGTCTTCCCTGCCCCCTCTGTGCTAACCTGATTCTCTCCCAGGGATAACGGTCCCGAGTTAGGAGGTGGGACGTGGTGGCCAGCCTGCAGGGTGCTCTCCCAAGTCTGGCTGGACCCTAACTACTTCTTGTTTTTAGCTTGTTTCCAATATTGTATATTTTTCAGTGAAACCATGCGAATCCGTTAGACTTACTCCCAAAATCATATAAGTAATAATCCTATTGAACTCAAACGACGCTTCTGGGCTTCCTCGCACTTGGACCCCGAGGCTTTTCAAATGGTCCACAGCTATTTCCGGTGGTAGGAAAATAGGGAAATGAAGTTAATAGTTAAGTTACACAGTTTACACTGCAAATGCGTTGAACTCGTGGCACACTTTTACTAACATCATATCTACAATTCACTGGCTGGTTTTCTCCTTGAATACACCTGTTAAAACAGCCTTCGTGAGCTGAAGACATGGCCCCCGTCTGATGGTTTCACTCAAGGATTAAACGAGAAAAACATTCGGAGGCATCAAACATAGATTGTTATTTTATCCCACTGGACTTGCTGTTTAAATAGAACCTTGAGTTAAATTAAATGTTAGAGGAAAAATGGATCCTTAGGCCCTATCATTAAAAATACTTCTAATAACCATATTGGAGGATCATATGATGGAGAATCTGGAATAATGCCTATTTTAACAACTTCCCTCCTCAGGTTAACCCTGGGCCTTTTATGTGTAGGCTAATAAGCTATGTTCCATCGAATAAGATTGTCGTAAAGAATCGTTTAAAGGCCAGACGAGAATACAACTAGCCATCCTCATTTGTAAAACACCTTGCAGTCCACTTGGCAGGACGTCGTCATGTCCGGCGCTCCCGGGGCCCTGCGAGGTCGGCGGCACAGGTGTCCCTCTCACTGTCTGCACTTGGCAGGTGGGCTGAGACCAGGAGGGTAAGTGACTTGCCTCCGACCAGTTAGCGAACAGCAGCTGGACTTGACCAGCACACCAAGCAGCACCTCATGTCTCTATCCCCTTACAGAGCCTTGGGGAGCCTCGCTCCCTGGGGGAGTCCAGCTCCACCGAACCACTAACCAGATGTCGAGCTCCTACAAGGTCTGTCGTGAGTCATGTCCGTCTGAAGACGCCATGTGGAAGGCCAGCTCAAGACACCTACTTGCCTTTGCATTACTAACACTTCAGATGTCTTCAGATTAAGAGAGATGTGGCAGCTGACAGCCGACTCTGCCACTTCTTTAGGCTCTGGGCATTTTCCAAGGTGACACGGCAGTTGCCAAGGCCAGAGAGGGGGCTGGGGAGCAGCGTGGGTGTGATGAGGAGCTCCTCAACATCTCCATCACGCCGGTCCCTCCCAGCCATTCTCCGGTACTACGAACTAGTGATGCTTTCACAAGGATGTCGGAAGTGTTACATAACCGCTGCTGCAAGGGTAGTCTCCTGCTCCTTCTTTCAAGTAGAGTCCTAGGCTCCTCCTACAGAGAAATTCTGAAGGCACCACTGCTGGAGGCTGAGATGTCCTGACTGACCCCCAAACCAAGTATCACAGACCCACTGCCTATGTTTTGGCATCAGGAGCCCCTTCATTTAGGAAAAGTGTGGAGACCCTACTGTACATCAGCTACTGTGCCAAGAACAGGGGATACAGTAGGGGAAAGAATAAGACACATTCCCATTCCTACTCTCCTAGGCTGGCTATCTGATGGAAAGACAAGCCTATAGACTTAGGGAAGTGCCACGGATCAGGGAAGCATGTGGGTTATAAAAGGAAAGGCCACCTCAGGGCCTTTGCACATACTTTCCCTCCTACCTAGAACACTCATTCCTTCCCCCATTGTCTTTCCACTCATCCTTTAGAACACAAATTAGTGGACTCCCCCCTTCTCTGGGAAATGTTTCCTAACTCAATTTGCATCCCATCGCACTACCTAGAACAGCTTATGTGATGTTTTTATTTCAGTGGTTCTCAACCTTGGCTGCACACTGACATCGCCAGGGGGGAAATATCGATGCCTCGTTCACACCCCAGGAGATTCTGAATTAGCTGGTTTGAAGTACAGCCTAGTACCTCAAACTTTACAAGCTCTCCTGGTGATTCTCATTTGCAGCCAAGGTTAGAAACTCCTAGAAGCCTCCCAAATTCCCTGTGCTCAGGGGTGATCATATTCACTGGCCCATATATCAGCCAATCTGTATAAATATTGGTTGTCAACCAATACATCTACTCCAGGGTATGCTGACTGAATAGCAGTCTCGCATGCCTTTTATTCCCCACGGTGCACTCGGCACATTCTGTTCCCGTGTCTGAATGTCTGAATCCTCACAGCACTGTACTGCTAGCTACACTTCAGCAGGCTATCCTGCCTTACCTCCTCCTCCCGCCACCCCCCCTAGCTTCTCCCATCCTATGCTATGCAGTGTTGCCCTGTTATACTCTGAGCTGCTTCCTCTCTATTACACCTGCAGCCATTTATCAGAATGCCTGGGACGTGTTAGGAGCTTGAAGAATATTTGTTGAATGAATCAGTAGAGCGTCACTTCCTCTCCAACACACCCTCTGTCACACACACACGCATGCGCGCACACACACAGTTACTATTTGACCCTACTGTGTGGCCCACCAGGAGTCGAGCACAGGGCCTACCATTCACACAGGCTGGATGACACTATGGAATGCAGGACAATGACCAGCATGACCCTCACTTGACGAGAGCCTGGAGGCCTTACCTTCGTTGCCTCAAACATCTCATCAAAGTCCCCAGGCAGGTTTCTGTTCTGGAAGCACAAGGCATGACTCGTGAGCATGAAATGAACGGTGTGGCCATGACACAAAATGGCTCGCCAGACAGGGACTCTCATGCTTACCGGAGTGGCCGCGGCAAAGCGTTCTTCAAAATCCTCCAGCGGATGGCCATTCTGGAAGCGGAAGGGGTGATGAATGAGGATGAAGTGAATGACACACACATGACATGGATTAATGAGTGGTATGAAGACGGTATCTGTGGTTTGTGCTCCCTCCCGTGGTCCAGGGCGGGAGCTGTCGCCCACGCGCTGTGAAAACCCTGGCAGGAGCCCCCAGCCCAAGCAGGTGATCAAACATGGCCTGACCGGCAGATACAGAGACAGGAAGTTTGGGAGTTTCAAGTTCATCTTCCGGAAATGACAGACATGACCCGGCCAGTCTCAACAGTGGCAACAGGTAAGAGCATAATGTTTACCCTTGAGGCGTTTGGTTTAAAAGACACAGACGTTTTGTGCTTTAGCCAAACCAAGGTCTTCAGAGAAGACTGTAAATAGCCAGTTTTTTTTTTTTTTAATTTTTTTCCCTTTATTGATTTCAGAGAAAGAGAAAGGGAGAGGGGGAGAAAGAGAGAAACATCAGTGAGAGAGAACAGCGATTAGCCGCCTCCTGCATGCCCCCCACTGGGGATCTGGCCCACAACCTGGGCATCAAATCGGCGACCTTCCGGTGCCTGGGTCGACACTCAACCAGAGCCACGCCAGCCGCACAGACAGCTACTTTTATAAGCACTTTTGAGCCCGCTGTCCCCTCTGCCTGAAACGCTCTTCCCCTCACCCTGCAAGCTCAAAGCTCAGCCAGTTTCTCGAACCCAGCGGAAAGGCCACCTCTTCCCTGAAGCTTCCCCTGATCGTCTGAGTTGAAACTCCTCCTCCGAGGGTAACAGCCCGTCATCTGTGCGGATCCCGGTGGGCTTCCTGAAGCAGGGACCAGGCTGTGTTTACGGTGACTCCCCAGAGCTCCCAGAGGATCTGATGCACAGTCGTGCCCCAGACAGATGAACGAGGCATGTTTGAAAAGCAGCTGTTTTAAAAGCAGCTGGCTGTTGACCAGATCCAATTGTAATTTTTTATTTATTTTGTTGTGTACAACTGCCAAGCGTTTCGCTAAACTATTCCAAAATACTGCTGTCTCAGCATCCAGTTTGTGTGGCCAAGCGGCCTGCAGGGGCCTTGAACTGACACCAGCAGCCCCTCCAGGGAGGCATGCCCAGAAAACGGCTTGCAGTCCTGAGATGACCCTGTGGTGAGCAGTCTGCCCACCTCCCAGGCTTCCTGCCCCTCACACCTCTGAGAGAGGAGCCCTTCGAATCTTACCAAAACTCTGCTTTTTTGGTTTGACTTGCCCAATCCAGGTTTAGCCCAGAGAACCCAGGCACTTCACGGGCCCCAGGAAAGGCAAGTACCCCGGGTCCTGCTGCCTCTCCTGCACCATTGCCTTGACCTTCCCGGGTGGTCCCTCCCCCAGGGCCTGTGAATGACAGACTTCTCCACTGCAACTCTCCTGCCGTCTGTGTTGAACTGATGCCCACCGTCGCACACTCCCGGGGCTCAGCTTATAAGTGCTAATCGAACAAAGTCGCAACAGTAATATTTACAATACATAACATAGAATATCTATCTATAGATATATGACCATATTTTGGTCTATATTACGAGCTAATTATTCTTTGGATGATTTCCAAGCAGTATAACATTGATATAAATCGGGTAATACTGACATTAAAGTAAATTATGATGCACAAACAGAAATAATTATATCATTTCCTACTGAGCATAGTGGCAATAGAGGAATGGAGAAACCATCACCAGATAACCTCCTAATACTCATTTGTCAGAAGCCACTTTTACTCTGTAGCAAACATGACTTGCCATCACTCGGTCCCAGGTACAAGGCTGCGGAGCAGAGCCAGAGCACCCACGTGCCCAACGCAGCAAATTCTGCCAGCAACCGCTTGCTTCCAACAGGCTTTGGGGACCCGAGAGTCAATTGTGGCTAAGAGCAGAGGAGAAACAACCACATCAGATCAATTATTATTATTATTTGGCCAGAGGTGGGGAGAGGTAGGGAGGCAATATTAGTTTAAGTGATCCCGTAATCTATGGAGTGGCCGGAAAGGTTAAGGTGATGTCGCTACATCCTTTATAAATTCGCTCACTTCTAGGGATTTATGGCACAGGCCCTACCAACTAGCTCTGGGTCATAACTTTTAATAAAAACATTTTTTAGTGTCCAAAATCTCATTACATCTGTCCAATATAAAAAAAGCAAATGGCTCCAGAGCATGATGGATGAATTAAATAAATTTGAAAAACAGCCTGTGGTAGAGTCTCATAAAAACCCCCACCACCTAATGAAAATGCGTGAGGCTCACCAGTGCTGGTGTGAGCCTGTCACTTTCCTGGTGACAAAAGAGGTGGCCTTCGGTGAGGTGTGGAGCTGAGGTGTGATGAGGTCATTTCACAAATCCAGGTGGAGCTTGAGACCAAATACATGCGAGCCAATGCACGTCTTTGGAGTCACTCAGATGCACAACGACTCACGGCTGTGTCACGGGCTGGCCGTGTGACCCTGAACAAGTCAATTAGCCTCAGTTTCTCACTTTGAAAGTGGGGATAATAATGATGACATCATCTGAGAGGATTAAGTGAGATGTGTGTGCAAAGTCTTGTTTGTTGTTTGGCACATAGTAGATGCTTAATAAATAGTAGTTATTATTAGTAACTTTTCATCCTATTTCTTTTGGCTCGTTTTTGCAATGCACAGACATACAGTGTTTAATGTCAGACAACTAGTATTATGTAACAGTTGGAAAAAAGAAAGAGAAAGAAGAAACACATATCTTGCCGGAAGCCCTTCTTTAGAGGACACTCTTGCCTGCCAGCACAGGCCGGACCCTGTGTCAAAGGAGGCCCAATACTTCTTGGCCTTCCTTCTGAACCCCTGTCCATTCTTGACCCCAACTGCTCCCTCTCGGCTCACGTCTGGCTACAGTCTGGCCTGATCATCTTCTTCCCATACGGACCCTTTGTCCCTGGCGCCTGGGTTTCCTTCCTGTGCTGACCTAGCTCAGTGGTCTCTCGGGGCTATTTGTCCTGTGCGGGGCAGCCTTCGATGACACCCAGGGCACCGCATTCATCCAGCTGTGCACCTCCTCCAGCCGCTTCCCATGGACGGGACCTGCAATCCCGTCTCTGGTCTCCCCACACCCCCAACCCTTGCTTTACTACAGTTACCACCAGAGTTTTAGTGCATTTATCGCCAAGCCTCCTCTTCTTACGGATGTTTTCCCCACTCACTGTCGCAGCATGCACTTTGTCCTCTGCCTTAAAAAGGCCGCCTGACATCAACGTGCACTCGCAAGTTACATTTCCAGGGAGGACTGAAGGGAAGAGATCCTCCCGTTTTGTTTCCACATGGTTCTAGCCCGAATCTTCATGAAGATATTAAAATAAAGCTTCCACGGGGAATTTGTTATCTTCCCATAATCTCTTTTTCGAGCAGTGGGGACACTATTGTCCCATAACTGAGTAGGGTGACTATTAAGACCAAATTCATGCTACTCTTGCAGCAAAAGGGACAGGTGGATGAGGCGGGGCTTGGGGTGAAGAAAAAAGATGTTAACTTCCTGATGCCTCCAAATCAGACCCTGCCTTGGCGTTCTCCCCGGACTGCAGTGCGGTCCTGTGCGTGAGCTTGTTCAAAACCACTGGTGACGCCTGAGCCCGGCCAGCAGAGACTTGGATTCTATTCGTCTGGGGCGGGCCCTGGCATCCGCAGGTTTTAAAAGCTCCCCAGGTAATTCTAATGTTCAGCCAGATTTGTTAATCACTGTGCTGGGGAATGGACTCTCTGCAGGAATAATTAGTGAAAATCCTACCAGGAAAACTGAAGGCATCTTGATTGATTATGTGATTGACTAATTAATTTCTTCAACAAACATTCACTGGGCGCTCCCTCCAGGCTGTGTCCTGGCTAGACACCGGAGCTACACAGATGAATAACGGGTCAGCCCCTGCTCTCTTGAAGCTCTGTGTAAACCAGGATACGTAACCATTCTAGCTTGGGGGTGGGGTGGGAAGGACTGGAGCAGGGAAGACACATGGCTTCTAGGTCTCAACTGAAAACTCAGGCCAATGCTGCAAAAGAAGGAATTGGATGATCCATTTAGAAAGCTCAGAAGAAATGGACTAACTTCAGTGATCTGTAACTGCACCAAAGTGGGTGTTACGAAGGCACCCAGTGAATGCACGTGCCTTTGTGTGGTGAGTGATTTCACAGGGAAGACACATGCTACTGAAGACTGATTCCCTCCGGGGTGTCTAGGAGTTCATGGTCTCTATCACCTTGGCCAAGAGTCAACAGCCACTGTCCCACTTCTTGGCAGAGAGACAGGAAAACCTGCGTCGGAACTGAAGAACCATGGAGGGTGGGGAGGAGGGGCTGAGATTGGGGAACGGACACTGGTGTTAATAACTGGTTTCCCCCCAGGGCAGGCCTGTGGGATAGGACTTTCTGTGATGACGGAGCCCCATAGCTGCGCTGTCCAGATGGTCGCCGAGAGCTGCATTGTGGGTACTGTGTGGCTAGTGCGACCGACAAAGGAAACCTTAAATTTGATTCAGTCCTAATTAAGTCCGATTTCAAGAGCCACCTGTGGCTAATGGCTACTATATTGAATAGCTCAGCTCTAGATTATATGTATACTACCTGCCAGTTGACGGGGTGCTTTCTAAATACTAGACATATTCCTTCGTTATACAGTCTCTTCTATTCTTTTAAAGAGTATTTATTCTGCCTTTGCACGGGTTGGAGAGACTCTATGGAGAGACCTGAATTCTTCGCTATGTCTAGACTGTACCATGAAATCAAATTCAGCTTGCAAAGATAGCAGCTTTCTTCTGGGTGTACGTTTTTTCTTTTCTTTTTCTTTTTTGTCTAGGCTAAGCCAGAGCCAGATATTTGGGGGGCTTTTTAAAGGAAGTGAGCATTCCTGTTTTGAGTGGAACTCCGTGAAGCCTCATCATCATTCCAACACGAAGCCCCTGCCCTCCGAGATCTGGGGTGCGAAGGTCTTGATGGGCACAAGGCTTTGATCCAAGAGAGGAACAGGTGC